TTAGTTTAGATAAGTCCATCTCGTTGTATGTGGATACAGCACTCGTTGATCCAGTTTCATATTCATCAAGTAATTTTTGTGTAAGCGGGTTTTTTTTGTCGACTGCGTATACTGCAATCGATAATCTAGCGATTACCAGAATCGTGACTATCCACATAATAGTATTATAGTATGCCATTTTCGAACGTATAAATCGTACTGACTTTATACGTTTATAATTTGTCGCTCTTCTTTTACGTAGGATCCATAAATTCACTACGATAATAATATTCTACTGTTACTTTTTTTTGTTAACACAATAAAACAAACAGAAATACTTCGTCAAAGTCAAATAATGCTCTGCTGTGAAATCAAAAATAAAATTCGAAAATTCGCTCACAAAACATATTCAATTTCGCCGACGACACTGCGATGTCACAGAAAGGTACTATCCATTTTGTGTACTACTGCAATAGATATACTTGATAAGAAAACACATGCGCCGATGTGCGAAATTATACAAAAACCTGACATTTGAAAATATAAATATATAATCATATGGTCTTATCGTTAATGAATCACTCTGTATATAGAATAATACATACTTCTGGTTAGTTATTAAACATAGGGCGGGAGGAAGAGTAGGGTGAAATATTAAATTTATCTACAAGCATATCTCTACCATTCATAACCATTCTGTAAAAATACTGAGCTGTTGAAGGTAATAGTAAAGGTAATCATTTAGTAATTTTACTATACATTTTTAAAATAACACAATATTAAGTGTTTCCAATTATTATAAAAACTACAAAAATACAATTTCTTTATCGATGCGCAAAAAGTAGTAAGGAAAATACTATAACATAATAACGACTGAAAACGCATACCTAATATTTATTCTTGGTGTCTATAAGGTCCATTTACAAATGATTGACTTTTTAAATAAAGCCTTATTTACCGTAAATTTAGAGCGATTTCTAACAATTGCTATTTTCATTCTCTTCACAATATTTGTGGAAAATAGTGAATTTTTTATAAAAGCAGTGGACGTTAGCTGACGGTAAGTAAACTATACATTTGACGACGGTTTTTTTTTTTTTTTTGCAACACAGCAGCGATGGCTGACAATGCAAACATTAACGTCTAGGATGAAAGTATATGCAATGAGCAAACTGTGAAATACCTACCATTGGAGATTAAACTATCCTTGTTAACGTCGTTCTGGTTAAATTTTATTTAACCAGTTCTCTTTTCATTAATTTTTTTATTTCATTTTTGTATAGATAATTTAGACATTTAAATTGGGCTCATTACGTAGTTGGTCAGAGAAATCATTTTCTATATAACCTATTGAAAGTACAGCCATATAAATTGCACAGGCCAAGATGCGTTTGAGGATAGATAATTGCCTTATAATATGTCGATTTAGTTAATAGAGAACCTGCGTAATACCAAGTAAAGAGAAAATAACTGGCACTGTCTTCTAATATATCCTAAGCTTTATAGTACCGTTGTACTTATGTAGTGTACCTACATAAGTTGAAACAAGAACACCATTTTGACATTGAAACGCATAATATAAGGTCTCGGGTGTGATATGATATCTTCTCCACATAAATGTTTTACAACCGAGAAACATATGCATTTAACCCGGTTTAAAAACATAACCTAAACGAAAAACTTTTGAGGTTGTTTTTAGATAAAATCCGTCAAGGAAATTGTATTCATATATTAAGAAAAAATATGAGTAAAACTTATAATATGTAAGTACAATATTCGAAGTTATATTTTAGCAAGAAGTAATAATTTATGTGAATGATTTACAAAATGTTTTAATATTATACAGAGTGATTTTTTTTATCATGGGTTACTCAATATCTCATAGGATTTAATAAGAAATTAAAATGTTTTTTTTCATACTGTTACTATACAACCACGACATCAAACAATGCTCTGCTGTTAAGTCAAAATCAAAATCCGAAAATTCGCCCCCATAATTTCGTGACGTCACTGCAAAACGGTCTTTATTCCTCATCATACTTATGTAAATCCTCCAGTCATACATTAACTTTATACCTTAAAAAGCTAATTACACCACTTATAACTGAGTTGGATAACTCTGAAAATTAAACATTACATCAACAGCCAACTATCAAATACTAAATAATATTGCACATAAGTTCGTTAATCCCTTAAGAAATCTTTCGATATTACTTAAGTTACCCCTATGGAACTGTCAATCCACGCAAAACCTTTAATCCTTTCGAAATAAAACCCCACACTCAAAAACTATAAACAAACGCAAAGCACCCTCCTTTTCCTGTCCATCTTAGACACTATCTCAATTAACAAATATGCAAATTATAAACGCAATTGCAAAAAATGCAATCAGCAAGAGATCCCAAAATCACCTCCCTCTCCCTAAATCCTCTTACCCAAGGGGTGACCTCGAAATATCATTGTATGATAAAAACCGAAAATGACTCACATAGTTAGTGTTTTTAATAATTTTAGAAATCAAAATCGTCTTTTGAACGTGTAAAAAAAATTGCATGTGAACGATTAGGTACTATATTATGTTCAATTATGTAAACAGTGGAAATGGAAACGCACATCAAATCACAAAAGTATTTTTCTAAAGTAAAAATGTTCAGGCAAGAATTTTATAGACAATACTTTAATATAAAATCATATTTTTAAATTTCTGTTTACTTTTGAAACACATGCGCCGGGTTGTGAAACTATACAAGAATCTCACTTTTTAAAAATTTGCTTTAAACAATTTGTACATTTAAATAATATTGTCTTATTATTAATGGAATGACACTGAATATACAACCCTTGGGATTCTGATGACCAGTGGATTTTTTAGTTCATATTAGCCTAAAATGAGCCCCCAATTTTTGGAAAATTGTCCACCAACCAACCAACAGACAATAAATTAAAAACCAATTAAGGATTAAAAGAGTGTTTTTAGATAAAACCCGTCAAAGAAATTTTATACAAATATCAAAAAAAAAAAAAAAAAAATAAGAGTAATATGTTAGTAAATATTTGAAACTTTAATTTAGTGAGAAATAATTTTATGTTAATGATTTTTAAATATTTTTAACACTACAAAGCAATGTAACATATCTATATGGTATTAAAACACAGAAAGTACATTTTTTTATTAGTATTAAACAAATGTATTTTCAAATGTAACAATCTGCAATGCCAATATATAAATTTTGCAATGTAAGGAGTTATATTATTCATTTTTTTTTTTAATTTGGTCTTTTGAAGCGATTTAAGTCAAATGATTCAGTATATTATAAGGAATACTATGAAGGCAATACACAAATAAAATATAGATTTTAAATACAAAATTAAATATTTTATATTTAAACGTACAATATAATAATTGATAATTTAAATTTAAACATTTAATGGCCGACCCGTGTAGTTGGGAGTGTATAGCGAACATGAAGAAGAAGATGATTTATGGGCAAACTTATCTACAATTTCTTCAAAGCCTAAAGATTTCGCAATCTATTATTTAATCTATTAATTTTTATTTTATTTTCTTGTCGAGAAAAATATTAATCGCGTTTGGAATATTATAACTTATTATAGAGTTCTGCTTTCAATGTTTCAGTATTTAAATTTTTAAATGTTTCGCTAAAGGTTCACGGTCAGAAATTTAGCATTAGGCGGATGTAAGTAAGTAATGGTATAATATTGGAGTTATATGTTGATAACCGTTTCTCTGACTCGCTGAAAATGTTGTCTAAAATTGAACCGACCAAGTTTCGTTAATTTGGACCCGCCGAGTAGTCGAAACAATGACAAGCTATTGAAAACTCTATTTATTAAGGGGCAAAGGATAGGCAATATTTGACAAAAATTGACCCATTAGCCATTGTTAATATCAAGTTTTTCTAGTCAGTATACGTTTGAGGTTATTTTTCTCCGAGTTATGGCGAAAGTCATTTGCTGTTGGCCGGATTTAAATTTTTTATGTGAAGCTCACCAAATTTTGCTATTGGGGCTAAAATGCCGAGTTTTGGTTTAAAGAGTAACGAATAGGCAATTTTTTTAACAAATCTTAAAAATTGAACTATAGGGTATACTTATTATTAATACACAAACAAGGATACATTGTTGATTGTCATTGGTTTTTTTTTTTCAGACTATCACAGTCAGCATAGGCGTATTTAGGAGGGCTTGGGGGGACTAAGAAATAGCTCCCCACAAAATTATTTTAAGCTATCTGAATTAAAATATATTTTACCTTAGAAATCGTTTATTGTTACGATACCTATTCAAAGTTAATATTTATTCATAAAAAAAAAAATTGTACTATTCATTGTAAATAGCAACATAGATTGGTTTTGTATTTTAATCTGTGATGATAGCAATACGTGACGATCAGCGCTACAATGAGTGTGATATAAGTATTATAACGAATTTTTTTTAATAGGTACTCACTTATATTACACGGTTATTAGTATTACTTCGGCATCTCGCAATTAATACTTGTATATGAGATCAAATATACGAGTCAAGATAGGTTTTCTTCGCTTGCCGTTCGCAATGCCTATAAAAAGGGATGACATCAGCCGATAATGTAAGCCCAAATGATAATCTTGATATCATCTACTCTAAAGAAAACAGGTGTTTACAGGGGTATTTTTTTTTTTGTATAACCTTTTAGCTTAACGGTTTTGTTTAAATGGTACGTGTTTAATGGTATATGCGTATAAAGGGTGGGGGGGGGCAAATCCCCTCACAAAATCCTAGCACAGAAAAATCGTGTCGTGCGCGCGGTGGTGTTGGCAGAACTGATCGGCGATCGGCTTACATGATAATATTATCATGTTACACTATAGTGTCGTGCAGTTGGTAGTTCAGCGACCGTAAATCGCTCACACGGTATGATCCCCACCCGTCGAACGACGACGACGTCGGCCGTGATCTTAACCTTGTGGGTTTAGTTTTTTTTTTATTTTTTTTTTTTCGTGGTAAGTACTAGTAGATTCGGGTTATGAATATCGAGTGTATCACATGCGCAGTCGGTCCGTGGCACGCGGCCGTGCAATCGATACCTGCAAACCGTACTCGCCCATGCACACCACGTTTGTTTCGCACCATACCTGTCGCAGTGTAATTAATTCGATACTCGCAATATTACATGTCATTATCGACTTCGGTGAAATTCATTCAACGGCACGGACGTCGGTCAAATTCAATTGGAAAAGGCGCCGTCGGATTTATCACACGACCGCCACACAATATTGCAGGTACCGTGTGAATGAACCACATATTTGAGGAACAACGTAAGTCCGAAAAATGTAATTAGGAGAAAACAATAAAAAAAAACTGTTTTAACGCTACCAGTGTTATATATCGTCGAAACTGAAAGATCCAATGGAAAGTGCTCGTTTAGGATACATAACTTAAAAAAAAAAAAAAAAATATTGACCTCGTTCTGGCCTCGGGGGATGCGTTTGAAATTGCTGGACTTACGTCATTTCTCGAATACATGATTTTCCGTCATGCAAATGTGTGGTTTTATTACTGTAGTGAACACTCTGGACTTATGTTCATTCTGAAATACACGTAGTTAATCATAAATAGGCGTGTTTACCTATAATACTAAATTTAAAAATATTAATTTTTCACCTTTATTCCAATGATGAGTAAAAAAAAAAACTACTAATTTACTGCAATACAATATTTTTTATTGATAGTTAATATTAATCATTAATGCTTTGTTAAATTTAATTTTGATATACAGACTTAGTATTTCGAAAAAGAGAAAACAAAATTAAAAACAATGAAAAACTATCTTAAAATTAAATATTTCTCTCCAAAACGTTTACACATGATGCGTATATCAATATAAAACGTATCACATGTGCTATCTCATTTTTCAATATTTGGTGACTTACGTTGTTTCTCAGATATGTGGTTCAAATAGTAATAAAACCGCATTCGATTTTTTCAATATTACATATTATGCGCACCCAGAGTCTAGACCTACATTTTAGGGGATGCTGAAATTATGTATACCCGACTAAACATAATCTTCAAACCGTTCAAATATTTACTAAAAAAAAAAAGTACGTACATTATTAAAATTTAGAGGTGCTAAAGTCCCCCTAGAACCCCCCTAGTTGCGCCCATGCTCTAAGACCCAAGTTCTTTCCGGTGAATTTTTTTTTTGCATTTGATTAACACGGGAAGTTTAAATTTTCTATTTGACTTGGAAAAATAATTGCAATTGCTACAGTTTAAAAAGCTGAAATATAATCCGCCACTTCAAAATGACCGTCTTGGTACTACACGATAAAAGTTGTTTTTATCGCGTTACAACCTATTAAAACTGATAACTTGCTAAATAAAATATAAATCACGAGTTACAAAGATAAAGGGTTTTCGAGTGTCGTATGTTAGCTTTAGGGAATTTTTTTTCAATGTTAGAATTGTGTTTTAATTAAAAAATTTAATTTCCGTGCTAATCAAATGAAAAAAAAAAATAAATAATGAGATAGTAAATATTTTCCAAACACCTGTTGATTGTTAATTTATTCACTCGTATCAGCGACTTGTTAATTTATGAATTATTACGGTTAGATTTAATAGAAGAGGGGAGACTTGATATTTTAAGAAAAACACTAATGCCCGGTTGCACCTAACTTGACGTTATCTATTGGTAAATTATTCACCACCGTAATAAACTAACTTTTGTTAAACTTTATCTTTTGTTAAATTAACATGTGTTAAACTTACGTGTGTCGCTAAAACGTTGTTGTATGTTCATGTTGTTACCAGTACATTGGTTATCAAATAAATGGTATCCTACAGCAGTAGGAGTTAATATTATTATCATACAGGGTCTAATCACAGACTTCTATAGAACATAGACCTATAAAAAAAATGGACTGATAGTAGAGAGAGAGGTACGCATATCGACATCGTTAAAAAGAGACAGAGAGAGTTGTTAGGTATGGCATGGAAGAAATAATATCACGGAGAAATAGTAATGTGATAATACCCGATAACGAAATTTTTATATTAAACATTTTTAATTAGTCTTATTAAAATATTTAATTCGCGTTGGTACTTCCCAATACATTCTAATAGTATGTAAAACAATATTAACAATATTTTAGTACGATAATAATTTTATCAACAATAAATTGTCTATAGAGTTTGTACAGAAAAACTATTTGCCAAAACATACTTAAACGTTTTATAAAAAGTAAAACAGAATGTTCATTGATAAAATCTGAATGAAATTGTAATGTTTTTTAAGTATTTATTACCGATATACTATACATATCTATTTAAAACAATACATCATGCGAAAGTATTGGATACCCGACAAAATAATGAAATACTTAAATGGTTTACAACTTTGAATAACACAATAATAAATAATAATTAAATATAGTTTAATTATTTTATATTTCCATGTGTGTGTATATATATATATCATTTTATTATTCCATCAGCCGGTTTCACCAACATTTGTTAAGAATTTAACTTATTGTTTATTACATTTAACTTCTAGTTAGTGAAAATTGGGTTTCATCGAGATTTGTTAGCCTTAACACATTGTTAAAACGATTGTTAAATTAATCACCCGAAATCGGCTTGTTAAAAAGTCAATCGGCATGTTAAAATATATTGTAGTACTTATATATAATTTTTATATTATTATAGTTCTAAAATTGTTTTATAATTTTTGTTGATTTAATCGTTGAGTCGTCATATTGCAAATGAAGGCTATTAAAAAAAAAAAAAAAATGCTTGTTGATTGAATTTACTAGTAATATACAATAATAAATTCCACATTTAATGAGGAACTTCTTTATATTGAGTATTGAAAAAACAATAGAAAAGTAACTTCGATAACCCTTTATTAGGTAAGCAGAAATTCATTTTATGTAGGTAGATTAAGTAAAATGGAATGGACACAGACTTACATTATTGGTTCAAATATCATAATTTTTTGTATTTTGTTATTTAGATAATATGATTATATCTTGCCTATCCATGAGTATAACAATGAAAATAATTCTTATCACTACCTACCTTTTTTTAGGCCTTCAAAATAGAAAAACCTATTTTACTGAACTTGAACTACTGAATAAAAAATTATATATAAATTATTTATATAAACCGTAACATTAAAAGAAAGTAAAATAAAATGCTAAATAATAACAAACTGACAAATTAAATAATACAATCACTTATCAGTTATCACATACTTAATAACCAATGAGAACGTTGGAATCGATGTAACCGCTTTGGTAACCCAACTAACGTTTTGTTAACTTAACAAATAGAATTTAACAATAATAATGTCACGGTGAAACTTATTTCATTTAACCAGATGTTAAATTTAAATGAATTGTTAACTAACATTGTGTGAAGAGTGTATTTAACAATAGATGGTAAAAATGGCTGTATGTCTTTTACATTTTTATTCCATGGGAAACCTAACAACTCTACCTATCTCTTTCATGTTGTATCTTTATAGGTCTATGCTATAGAAGTCGGTGGGTCTAATCAATGACCCAATAAACTGATAACGCACATTTCCATTATCACAACTTCAACGCAAAACATTGATAAGAAAATTTAACTATAAATACATTTTTACACAGCGATTATTGACCCTGTAATTTAACTCGTGATAAAGTACATTTTGAACAACGGATAAAATTTAAAACATGGTTTATGCAACAGAATTTATTTTAACCTCAGTTAAACGAGTTTATCTCTGTGTAAATATTTGGTGCGACCCGGCATAAATCTACCGTTAGTCTTATTATTAGACTTTAAGTCCCAAAACTACCCCCCCCCTCCTCCTCGCCCTTCTGGGGTAAACGTTTTTTGATCGTTTGTTTTATTTATCAATTAGTAGTGTATAATATAAAAAAAAAAAACATCACATACATCACGTTTGAAAGTGATGTGCTTGATTTTTTTAAGTTGAAAGTGTGTAATTATTTTAGGGCGGTTTTCTCGATTTCTAACAGAGAAGTGGTGATTTTTTTTAATGTTTAGCCCCAATAAAGTACGTTTTAGGTTAAGTTTAATTATTTGTAACGGTAGATGAATGTCTTGAGTAAAATTACACACGTGTTTTTTTTATAATAGTTTTTTAAAAGGTACCCAAACCTTTTAAAAATATATCCTTGATACATTATTCAGTTTCATCAATCTCTAACGTCTATTAATATTTTAGTGTTTTAAACTTTAAGCGCAATTTTCTCAAGATCCCTTTTTTCAAACTGAAAAAAAAGTTTGCAAACAGTAAAAAAAAAACTCGACCTAATGACTTTTAATTGATATTTACCTTTAATTTATAACAATATTTTCTAGATGAACCTAAGAAACTAATAAAAAAATAATACTAGTTACATCATTTCTTTGTAAAAAAAATGCGGCATGTAAACTGCACGACAAACGCCCAATTTTTGCGGCAAGATTACTTAGGTTATAAAGGTTTATGTTCGTATAAATGGTTTTATTTTTTTCATGAAATACAAAAAATACTATAGTGACAATTTCAGGAAGATTTGCTTTATACTTGGATCACAAAAATTGTTCATAATTTAGCTAATTATTATCTCGTTACGCAAATGTTTTTTTTTAACAAAAATCGCCCATTGTTTTATAAATTGTAACAGTTGAAAAAAAAAATATGATAGTTAAATAAGGAGTTCAATTGCATAATTTGTTTACAATTGTATTAGTGTCCAAGTGGAAAATTATATAAATTATATTTTGTAATTTCGCGGTTATGTCGTTTCTTTATCGCTTTGAAGACAAAGCAGTTAAGTTAGGTTGAATTTTTTTGTAGGGCACATTCTTGATAGCTATGTATAAATTGTCAAACAGTAACATGATAAATAGACAATGAATGTGAGCGATTCGGTCGCGGTATTTATAATCATAAACATAATTGACTAATTGTATAATAATACATTACAATAGCTACACAAGACTCACGCCACCGGTATCAGTGTAGTTCAAATCGTGACGCTCGATGCAACACTCTTGTTAAAATGTTTTATTAATCCATTAACGACCTATCTCTTTGTACTTAGTCTTTGAGAATAAGTTATACATAAAAATATTTTATAATAATAATAATATATTTGCGCAATTTTTTTTTTTTTTTGGTAACCATGGTTAATTTTGAAAATTGATTGTTCTCAATTGGCATGCAAACACTGCGTTTTATAGTAGTTAGTGTTTACTTTTGGTAAAAAGTAAATACTTTTGGTCAACTCCTGGTAAAAAATCATTATCAAAAATTGGAATCAACTATATTTCTAGACAATATTATTATACTATTATGTTTTTTTTTTTCCGGAACAGGAAACATGACGGAAGCGGTAAAACAAATTTGGCAAGAAGCGGATGCCGTCTGCTTTGACGTGGACTCTACGGTCATTCAAGAAGAAGCCATCGACGAACTGGCGAAATTTTGTAACAAAGGACCGGAAGTCGAAAAATTGTAAGCATACAAACAGTAATACAGAGGGGTCGGGTTAGGTTAGGTCTATAGGTCTACAAGAATTAAATAATGTATACCTGAAAGTGATAAAACCGCGTACAAATAAACGCTTCTTTGTGAATCTGATTTTTGACATTATCCAAACATTTACACTATTTACATGACTTGAGGTTACTCCCACTAGAATGTCTTGACTAGTTCGCCAACGCTTCAACGCCAATTGATAACGGCAATCAGTCATGCGGTAGCCGGCCAAGGCGAAGGGACGTGGCCGTAGAAAACAGCTGGCAGCGGCAAGAGGAAGCGAAGAATGCGGTGGGGGGTATGGTATATAACCTACGCCCACAGAAGCGAATCGGTCAGTCTGCAGGAGAGGGCGTAACGAGCAACATTGAACCACAGCCCTGAACAGATGGAACGTCCAAGTGTTCCGAAACGTTGGCGAACTAGTCAAGACATTCAAGTGGGAATAACCTCAAGTCATATAAATAGTGTAAATATAATACCCCACTCAAGTTTCAACAATTTTGAATGGGTGGGAATGGGGATAGGGGTAAAAGATATGAGATAGGGGTAAGAGATAGGAGATAGTGGTAAGATATAGGAGTTATGAGATAGGGGGTAGGAGATAGGAGAGATGAGGGGCGAAGGTGGTATTGGGGTTGGGGATGGGTGTGGGAATTAGCTCTGGCACATAACCGAAAAAAGTGTTACGCTGTTATTTTAAATTATGTGCTGTATTTACAACGATCAAACTAGAACTAAATAAAACTAAACTAAAATAGTTGAAGGGGCCAAATTCTCTATAAAATTGTTTAAGGCCAGATATTATGAAAACACTAAAACATTAGCCAGAAACTTGATATGTTTACTAGCCACCTTAAATATTAGCTTGTTAATATACCTACTATTTCATTATCTATAACTCTACCACTACTCTAAATGTATTCGGTACTTCAACGAGACATGAAAATGCTCTTTCGTGGTTGCAGACTCGGATGAAAAATGTTTTAGTTTGTCAAAGAATATCATTTACTATGTCTAAAGAATATTCCATACGGTTTTGGTACTAATTCGATGCGTTTAAAATAGTTACAAGGGTGCAGTAATTTTAAGTTGTACGTTTTTTTTAGTGTTTTTCTCGTTTTTTTGAAGGGTAAAGGGTGATTTTTTCAATTTTGCCCCCAATGAAGTGCCTTTTGGGTAAGCATCTATTGACTTGACGCTTGAAGGAATCGGTTCAGCGGTGTTAAGTTTCAGTATACGATTCAGTCTACAAATAAGTATTAAACAATTTTAAAAACAATAAAATTAATAACGAAAATAATCCATTTTTCGGGGGTTTCCTCATACACAACTTGATATTCTATCAAAAAATGTATGTTTCTGGGACTTTGAACATCCCGTATTTTTTCAATCGTGCATTTTTTAATATATTATCTGATTCCATTGGATAAAGTAGTATATCATATGAAAATACATGTGTTTAGTTGTGTTTAAAAAAAACCTCTTGGAGGCCCTAAAAGTATTTGCTGCCTTGTGTATGGTAAAACTACTACGTTTTAGTCGATAATTTAAGACCTAAAATATGTATACTAATTACACATCATCATAATAATTTAAAATTACACTTTTATCTTTTAAAGTCAACACAGGCTAGACCATTTGAATAATTGGACAGATAAATAACGAGCAACAAATAATGACTACCAATTAATATATCGGCTTTATTTGCGATTTGTTATTTATTCATAAATTATTCAAATGATTAAATTTACGAATTGAAACTTTTATTCCATTTTATTTGTATTCAAAATTTAAAAAATGAGTACCTAATAAATATTTTTTTGACTAATTATTATCATTACTGACCTTACTTGTGTGGTAGCCATGTTTTTTTCTTAATTTTGACTTTATTATGCGTTTCAAAAAAAAAATATAGCTACGACTGAAAATAACATTTGTTAATAATAATAAAAATAATATAATAATGTTGAACTGGGTGAATAGAAAAACCCTTAAACCTGATAATTTTAAATAATTTAAACAACTATTTTTTTTTACAACATATATTTTATATCTTTGCGGTTTTTAATTGGTGCGTCGATGAGTGGAAAAAGTGAGTAGAAATAAATTAACGCTTTGTTTAATATTTGATAAGCTACTATTTAATTCAATACAAAATTTCCAAGTGTGAAAAATTGACATTGTATCTGATTGAATGAAATGATAACCGCTACACTATTAACTATGATATTTCCCCTGACCTTTTATTTGTAGGCTAATTTTTTAATCGGTTATGCGTTTAAAATATTTAGATCATTGACCGCGTTTTATAGTATTATAATTGATGTTTGATTTAGATTTCAATTTAAAATTTGATTATATAATAAATAGTACACCGTCTTGTTCAAAACAGTGTACTATACATAATGTATTTATTTTATCATACATACTTTTATTATTCATTTAGAATCCAGCCTGGCTTTATTACTCAAAAATATGATTTAGAACATATATTTTTATAATATTCATCAGTTATCTTATAAATGTCATATAGAGAAAACCTCTTATTTAAGCTCTAATAGATTTTTGTTTGAAGGGGGAGGGAGAGGTTAATCGATAAACTAAAACATTAACAATTTTAGTTTTATAATAGTATGTAAATATTTCTAGTCCCGTCTAAATTCAAATAATGTGATCATTTGTGAATGGGGATCTTTGACAAATGCCCTTTTCGGTAATTATTAGACTTTGTGTAACTAATTGCGGTTAAATTCTTTTGAGTTCTTTTTTTTTACGCTTAATTGGAATGCCGTTTACATCATGTAGTTCAAGGACGATTTATTGCGGTCTGTCATAGTTGTAATTTATGACAACTCGGGTTTATTAATTGTCGAGTATTGCTTTGCCAATAATTTGTCGTCATTCACATTTTCCAAATGTTCGTCTTGTCAGTGATATTTTTATCGACTTTGTTTCTCTCAATAATAATAAATGGATGACTAAATCGTTTTCTGTCCCCTCCTGGGCTTGTATGCAACATGAGCTGATAAGGAAATCCTGACGAGGGCGAATCTAATCAATGCACAAATGTACTTGCTTGTAGTGTAGATACGATTGAAACTGACAACAATAACTATAGCTAAACTTGTGCGACACAGTTTTTAGGTACAGTAATATTGATATTCGGTAAGAACCCACGAAAATATAAACTCCTCAAGAAGGGTTAGAAACTTTTGTGTTTCGCATAAATATAAATAATGCCTTAGGTATAAGGATTTATGGTCTGAAAATTAGATTGAAGCTCTCCTTCCGTCTTTCCACTCCTCTCTGACCTATCCCGCGGTGTCACGAAATTGTCTAAGCAGAATAGTCTGGTATAATACTGATAATCTCTTAAAGATCCATATGTGCCAGAACCAAATTGAATTGTGACATCTAGGATGAAAACATCCTCAGAATCGATTATGATCAAAATGCCACTAAGGACCATAATGTCTTCTAAAATCCTTAGAGTGAAACATTTGGATCTCCGGAAGACGTTTTGATCTTAGGACAAACCTAACCTAACCTATCCAAACCTAACCTATGATCAAAAATTCACCTTACCGTTTTGCTACAGGACTAGCAGTGCCATGTCGGGTGGCATGGACTTCAGGCAAGCACTGGCCGCGAGGTTGCAAATCATTCAGCCGTCGTTGCAGCAGATTCGGGACTTCATCAGGGAACACCCGTTCAGTTTGACGGCCGGCATCAAGTAAATTAAAAACCCACGAAGCATGCGGAGCTTACGGTATTTATCTAGGAGCGTTAGATATAGATTTGTTGGTTTATCAGGACACTCGTCGAGCGATTGCAACAGAAAAACGTACCCGTCTACTTGGTATCCGGTGGTTTTCGTGGGTTAATCGGACCGATAGCGATTGAACTGGGCGTTCCGCTCCAGCACATTTACGCCAACAAATTGAAGTTTTTCATGAGCGGTAACGACAGTTCCAATGTAGCTTTTAGTTGCATTTTTTTTTTCCAAAAAATTATTGTAACCCGTTTGTTTTTCGATTTTTCCATGCTCAGGCGAATATGCCGGATTCGACGAAAAAGAACCGACCTCGAAGAACGGCGGCAAAGCCGAAGTCATAACGCTGTTGAAAGAAAAACACGGATACTCCAAGTTGGTCATGGTCGGAGACGGTATAACCGACTTGGAAGCGTGTCCTCCTGCCGACGCATTTATAGGTTAGCTGAGAGTGCACCGTATCCGTTTTGTAGTGTGTCCCAAAAGTAGTCCCTCGACAATGAAAAAAGAGTGCAAGAAATTTCCTTTCTCTTCAAGAAAACCCTACTCCTAATGTTAACTGGACATTTCACGCAATCCGTCTGATAGTTTATGATTAGGATGAGTGATAAGGATAAGTGATAAGAGATAAGGAAGCGTGATAAGGAGACACATCGGCTAACCCGTTATGGGGCCGTGACGGTGAACGGCAAATTTTGAATTCACCACAGCTATAAAACATACCTAATCATGTTAATAATTGAATTGAGAATTTCGAAAAGGGCTCATACCGAAAAATTAAAATTTTTCAGGAAACTCAAAAAACTGATTTTCTTTTTAATTTTGTTAAATAGGATGTTTTTTTCATCACAATAGAAAACAGATTTGGGCCCTTTTCCGTAAATGAAAAAAACGCGGAAAAATCAATTCTGATCAAAACTCGAGATGGGTCCTTTTCGAAATTTACAATTCAATTATAACTTAACTCTTTCAGTCATAGTGTGTCCTGGCTCCTATACCTTTCTATACCTTTATTGTTTGTCACTTTATGGTTAATATTAACCCGGGCAAGGATAATTGGGAGGGAGCCGACTAGTATTTCGTAATGGCAAATTGATAAGTGGGGATAAGAGGAAAAAGAGGGATGAAAGGAAATTGACATTTCCTGGAGAACTGATAAGAGGAAATAGATTATCTCTTGATAGCTGATAAGAGATTATTGATAAGAAAATCGGCTGATAAGAAACGAACAATGAGGATCAGTTAAAGTTTAATTCAACAAACTTACACTGTTTAATCATGTTAATGTTATGTCATATTTAAAAATTATTTTTCTTTTGGCAGGATTTGGTGGTAACAAAGCACGAGAAGAAGTGAAGTCAAAGTCTAAGTGGTTCGTCGAGAGTTTTCAAGAACTCATCGATGCCATGTGATCTCTACACACAATTTGCAAACCAATATATAACCACGGTTTAATATTCTTAAAGTGATATATTATTATGATTATTATTACAAAAGTTAATCGTTTAATTTGAAAGAAGAACTAACAAACCTGCTTCTATATTTTGAAACAATGCGACCGAGTGATGAGTACATTTCTTCGGTACTACTATTTAACGCACACTGTTAAGAACTATTCGTATAGTTAATTATTTTTGTTTTATTTGTTGTTATTCTAATTATTGTGATGAAAAGATATATATATAAATACAATTATTTGTTGTTTATAATATTATTTTATATATTTTATTGGAAATGTATTAACAATAATTTTAAGGAACAAAAAAACAAACCAATTTGACCACTTAATAAATCTATAGTAAAAACTAATATGTTGTAAAAATTTCGTTTTTAATTGATGAGAAAATCTACGATTTTCCAAACAAACGAATAACGTTAAAATCATATTTTATGTATTAAGGTGATTATTTTGTAATTGAATACAAAAATCGACGGTAACTCGTTGTGTGTATAACTTGCTAAAACATATATAGTATAATCGTTAAAACTTGGATAAATTTTATTTTAAGAAACTGCCGAAAGTAGATTTTATTAATTAAGATTTTTGAAAAAAAAAATTGTAATTTGATGGATTTTTCTCGTACAAAGTTCATAGGAAAAGTCATATATTTTTTAGTTTTTTGAAAAATAATATTTTATTTTTATTTGCTATTTATAAATATTTTTAATTTTAAATTCCTTAATACTATAAGTTTCAATAACTTTATGTTATTCGTTTTGACTGAACAAAAAAAAATATATATGTTCAAAACAAAACTAAAGAATATAATCCTATAAAATAATCGCATCTACTTAATTACTTTTGAATTTATGTTCAAAACTTGAACTTTATTTTATTGGATTTTAGCAAAAATGAACTGCACTATTCTGTAGTAATTCTTATTGGCTTTAATTGGTGTTACTTTATTAGGTACTGTATATTACTAAAATATTATTTTTTACTACAACATTACATTGAAAACACCGAGTTAAAAAATGAAATTAAATGCAAAACAAACACTCTAGCTTATTTTATTTCAAAATATTCATCTTTTGAGGGACATTAGTTTTAATTTTTAATATTTTTTTTTTTATTGCATACAAATCAGGCCTTTACATTCATGAACATCATCAATGTTTTTTTTTAATGCGGTAAAATACTATTATGTTATTTTCAACCGCGTTAAATAATTCACAATTATCCATTCACCGTGTTAAAAACGAGTGTTGCTTTGTATGTTTTTTTTTTTTAATTTTACTGTTTGTACTTGACAACCGCCTACATGTATATTGTATATATTCTGACGGTTAAGTACATTTTTCTAATACCTTTATTGTTGGGTTAGGATAATAGACGGCAACAGAATTAAGCTTAACAAAAGCCGTCGCCTAGCAATGTTCGACACTTACTAAAATAATATTAATAAACGACCAGTTTGACATTAAAAAAAAAAAAAAATTAAAGCCAATGTGCTTGAAATTGTATTTTTAGCACCTATCGATTTAAAATATTACAATACACGTCATGTATACTTCATAAATAAAATAATATTATTCTTTATCTTAGATCTCTTCACTTAATGGGTACCATTCCGTTATAACGTCTGTTAAGATAACAGTTTTACTAGTCGCGTTTCATCCTAATCTTAAACGTGGTTATTGTTACAAAATACCTATATAGGTAGTCCATTAAAACGGGTTTATTAAGATTTTAAGGTATTGATCGTTAAATTTTAAATATGACCGTTAAAAAAAAAAAAAAATTTCAAGCAGCGAGCAAATGTGTTGTAAACGCTTTTCTTTAATACAATTCAATTACTATTTACTACTGAAATACTTGTAATGGTATTTTAGGTATAATGGCACATTTCTTATCACATTAATTTTAGTTAAAATTATCCTAAAATATCTACTAAAATAACACATAATTGTAGAGAGAGAAGAACTATTATTTTAGGAAACAAGGCAAAGTGTCTGTCTGGCAAAGTATATACATTTCAGACATCTCTGTTACTGGTCATACCAGTACAATCCATGAAGCTTAAAGAAATCTATAAATAAATAATAATAGTAAGTTGATTAACAGTTTAAAACGCATAAAAATCAAATCAAATTTAATAGAAATAACACAATATTATACTAGGCAGTAAACTGACACTAATAATATTGTAAATGATACAAACAATTGTTAATGTTTAAGTTTTAAACAGGTAATAGAGCTCTAGAAAAAAAAATCAGTAAATTTTATAATATTTTAAATAACATAAAGAAAAATGTTAAAAAAAAAAAAGAAAGAATAACTACAAAATTGCAATTGTTTTTAAGAAAAAATTAGTATCCTATACTTAATGAATCACCCTGTGTTGTTATGTTATTTGTACAGGTTACAACGTCATAAATGTAAACCGGGTTTTGTTAAGGCGGTAATATTGTATCATCCATCAATTTTGATTATGGGCTTAAACGCTTTGTATCCGTTTATCGATCACATAGGGAAACGAACGGCGCGTACTTGGCTACAGCTGTAAAAGTTCAAGGTGTCTGCAGCAATATATAGGTAAGTTATACCTATACATATATATATATATATATACATATATACATACTGTGTATTAAAACCGTCTAAATTAATTACGAAGTTGAGCCCAAAGAATCCTTACGGGTGCAAAACACTTAACAAATGACCTTTTTCGCCCACGGTTTATTATTTTCAAGTCGCTTTTGCGTTTGGCTCCAAACATAACAATAACAAAATTATAAAAATATATTTTGATCGATGCGAGCCTTAACCGGGCCAACCGGAGCAGTAATAATAGAACCCGCAGGTTAACCCATAAGCAATAAGGTGTGGTGTAAGGTGATTTAGTTTTTATACACAGTGGCGCAACTAGGATTTATTTTAGACATTTTAATACTACGTTGCCCCGGACCATTGAACACCTTATACTTTGCAAACGTATAAGTTGAACATTTTTTCTATATTTTACATATTATTCATAACGATCACAAATTCGTACTATTTATTTATTATTCATATTTATTCCAAATGTAATCAACGCAATTGTCGAAAGACAATTAGGTTAAGTTAGGTTGACATAGGTTTGGTTTTGGTTGGATTAGGTTAGGTTAGGTTAGGTTAGGTTAGGTTAGGTTTGGTTTGTTTGGTTAGGTTAGGTTAGGATGCATGCGAAAATTATTCAACGAACAAATTTTATTTTAAGTTTGCGGTAAAATCAGAACTTTATATTTTTTCTACTCAAAAAATAGAGTCCTAACTAAATTAGGATTTATTAGTTAACATTTCACCTATAGAATATTAGGTTTTATTTAGGTTATTGTTATTTGGGGGAAAAAACTCACCGAAAAAAGTTCTATTAACTCTTCTATAAGTAAGTACTTTAAAAATTTCAGAATTTTAATAAAATACCAAACTTTGAAGTTACTTGTACAACATAAAAAAAAAATGTAAAAAAAGGTATGAATCAAAAGAGTATAGTATCAGAATTAAAAAAACAATTTTGAAATTTTGACCTTGAGTAAGTAAAAAAAAAAAATTGATTCGTAGTCCTACAGTACAAAATTGGAGAAATTCAAAGTCTTACAGCTCCTAGTAAAAAAAGTCTCCATTATAAAACTTTTACCAAATGTTCTACATTTTGGTTCATGTCATAAAAAGTTATAGGCTCTTAAATATTATATCACTTTTTAGTAAAATGCCAAACTTTGAGGTTACCTAAACATAAAAAAAAAAATTGCTAAAAATAAAATTATGAATCAAATAAGTATAGTATGATGTATGAAAATAAAAAATGAAAGTTTTGAAATGTTGACATTAAGTCAGTAAAAAAATTGAATGAAATTCATAAAATTTTGAATTTGTTTTTAAGTACTTAAATATTTGAAAAAAAAATTGTTGAAGTATATTATGAAAAACAACACTGAAATTGAAATTGTTCACTGAAAGTTCAATTACGATGCCATAATTAGTCATTAAGTACCGTGATCGTGAACTTAAGGTGTTTTCACAACAAGTTTTCTTAGTATAGCATCTCGCCTAAGTCCAAAAATTTTTTTAAAAAAATAGTTTTCTTCACTTTATGGAACTATCTGCATAGGATATGTAAATTTGAGGCATTTAAAAAATCCACTGGCACACACATCAGGTGATTTGGCACGAAACGATCCAATAACGTTTTAAATACCAACATCGACGTCAAACAAAATAAAAACGATAACTTTTCAATTCCTAATAACGTTAAATGCCTAATAACAATGTAGGTAATAAAAAAAAAAAAAAACCATTAAACAAATAAAGACATTTTGATTCAAACCCACTCTAGCTGATGTAGGTACATTCGGTCTAATTTTCAGGCCTCAATAGAGTTACACCTAAGAGAGAAAATCTAGAATTTTGTAAGTTTCGAAGAATATGTTTGGATTTTTTCATTTACTTAAAACTACAACAACAACAAAAACCGCCCCGTTCTGTAACTGCCCGACACACGGCAATGTTGTAATTACATCAACAAAACCGCAGTCGTTTAAATATGAAAACCCGGTAGTCAATATGAAATAAAAAATAAATGGCCACACGAGTGCTGTGTGCTCGGCCAACGCTTACACGGTCACAGCGTTGCAAGCGTCCGAGCCAAAAGGTTTGGCGTATCGTTTGCAATGCGTTCGCTAATAGGCAAACTCTGGTCCGTTTGTGTTTGAATTTTTTTTCAGTCGTTTTTTTTTTTTTTTTAATAGTCTGATCTTATATTTCACAATATACCTACACTATTCGCGACCATTCCAGTGCGTTTGTATATAAAAATTCATTCCAAGTGAAATATTTGCACACTGTGAGTATACTCTGTAACGATATTATATTAGATTTACATTGGTTTTTTTTTCACCTTAAATTTCTATTTCATGTATTTATCATACATTAATTTATGTAGGTCATTTTTTTTAGAAACATACTTGAGATAATATTTATGGTAATTGTAACCGTTTGGAAATAAGAAGTAGAATACATTTTTTTTTTTTTTTTTTTGAGAAAGGGAGGATTCAAAAGAGTTAACAAATAGAATTTTTGAAAAAAAATGACTTATGGTTTGAACCTTGTTCTAAAAAAAGGTCAAATTTTGTTTTACAGTTTAATCTATATTTTATTTTTTTAAAGTCATGTTCCTGGTTTAGCTTACGATAAAACATCCCTAATACTATAATAATAAAAACAATATTGGTTCGGATGGGACACTTGAGTACTTGTTTGTAGTTTAATTCACATTTGGTTCGGTCAATGTTATCGTTGGCTCTGAAATTATACTTATGTATATTACACCGACTGAGTGAAACGTTTGTGCTGGAACAACAGCTCTTCAATTAACTTATCAATCGTTATGCATTTAAATTGATTTTTATCAATACAACAATTCTTACACACAGCTTATGTAGCTTAATTGACCGCGGCCAGTCGCTCTTCGTATAATAGTAAATAAGGATTAATTGCAAAACGCATACCGACAATGTGTACAGTGTTGTTTTTATACATCTTGTATAATATTTCAATGGAATTTCAATCACAACATAGTCCTGTTGTCGAGTATATTCTAATGTTTTTGCAATATTATGTGCATGCTATAAATTATAATAGGTATAAAAAAATCTAGTCGAACGCTAATCATTGGCCTTTTACTACAATGTACTTGTGGTATGACGAGAAAAAAAAATCAATAAAATAGTCTCTTTAAATTATTCAAAATATAATGTCAACACTATTAGTGGTATGAGTTTAATACACTATTTAAGAACGTGGTTGATACAATGTTTTTGTCTTCGTCTTTAACAATATTTGTATGTTTGAGTTAGGTTAGATTAGATTAGGTTTGGTGAGATTTGTTTAGGTTTAGTTAGGTTTGGTTAGGTTAGAATTGGTTAGGTTTAGTTAGGTTGGTTAGGTTAGAATTAGGTTAGGTTTAGTTAGGTTAGGTTTCGTTTGATTAGGTTTAGTTTAGTTTGGTGTAGTTTGGCTTGATTTGGTTTCTAAATTATGGAATTTAAATTATATTTCGTTGTTCGCCAGCTGGAATAATTAGAGAACAATGTTCGTACACAAAATACATTTGTTTATGTTCAACAAAAGGTTAGGTTAGGTTTATAAAATTACCAAAAACTAAAAAATGTATGAAATAGTTGTATCTATTGTATTTCTTAATAATGTGTTTTGCGCAATTCAATTACCGTTATAGCGATCGATTGATGTAGGCAACGTAATTATTTCAAGTCAATTTTTTTTTTTTACTATTTCTTAACTTACAAAAAAAAAAACAGGTCGGGTTGGTGGTTTGGGTGCATTAATGATTATAATAATTTACCCCTCTGAGTAAAAAATAATCTATTTAGCTATTCATATTTTTGTATTACAAAAAAAACTGTATTGTGTATAGTGAAGTATAACATTATTATTGTATCATCGTATTGAAATTATTATCGAATAAAAGAAGTCGTAGAAGCTCCAAAGTGTAGATTATAATACTTATCAAGGTTGCGTGTCTAAGAAACATATTTTATTATAATATTATTATTCGAAATTGAAACCTTAAAAAAATAATAATAATAATAAACGAATGTTTTGTACATAAATTCCAACAGCGAGATTTACTTTCTACTTGGGACGATTTTTAAGTTGTTGGTAGTTCATGTTTAATCCATTTTTATCCAGTCGTTTCGTTTATCGATAATGGTTTTGCGCAATCGATAGTGCTCTTATTATTTATTGCAAATATTTGTAATTATAATTAATAATAATATTTTATTTTCGTTCATGGAACCCATTATGTACCAATTGATTGCACTAGTGGTTGATGACATTTAATCTGTTCGGGACCGTTTAATTTAATTTCTTTTTGCGCACTTGTATTTAAGACTCGACGCGGAACCGAGACGGTGTTGTTTTTTAGGTTTTTTTCCTCTGTTAGCTAAACTAACTCTCGAATCAGTCCCTCGGATAACTTCCAAATTTTTATGGAATACCCTCTGGATAAAGTACTGTCGATAAGCGTTTAAAAACCAAACCCTTTGCCCCAGCTGAAGGGGTGGAAAATTTGTCCTCTTATTAAGGTACGGTCTCAGGACTACAATGCTCTCGTGTTTAAAGATTCGCATCGAAGCGTTTATTTCATCTTATTCTGTTTAACAATTTCTGAAAACATGTGCCATTCCCGTCCTCACTATGCCTCTGGATCTACCTACAGTCTAATTTTCACACCTTAAGTCCTAAAATTACACATAAAAAAAAAAACAGCATAATTTTAAAATCAATACCTTCTAAGCTTCGTATTATGTAATAGTGTTTTTACTCGTTCTGTTTCAGCGTGATGAATTCCCAACGACTCCTATTGCAGACCGACGTTAAACTGAGCGACCTAAACGGCTTCGATAGCGCCGAACCAATGCAACCTGCCCAAAGGGAACAACGGGAAGAGTGGACCCATAAATTGGACTTTTTATTCTCTTGCATAAGCGTATCGGTGGGACTCGGAAACGTTTGGAGATTTCCATACTTGTGTTACAAGCACGGCGGGGGTGAGGCCAACATTTCCTGAAATCCCATTTCCATTCCTATTTCCAACTAGCCAGTAGTTATAATATTAGTTATAAGCCGGTAGATAAGTTTTAACTGCAATCCTAAATCTGTTTGAAATCATTTATTTTAATGTTATTTTGATGTACCTAATTATATTTGTTTTTACAATGAAAACCACACGTTTTATTTTAACTATTTGGACCGAAAGGTAAATAAACACTATATCGGTAGCACCTTTGATCCAAAACGCCAATGTCGATTGCATAACTTGGTTTCATAAGACGTATTGTCAACATAAAAAAAAAATGTCATTTTTGTCAACTTACATTTTCTGACATTTTTGTCTGTAGTTCATTTAAGAATTTTTATCTTTCTATACGATCAACTAAAGAAATTAATACGCTGAACTGCTAAACAATATAGATTTCAATTGAAACAATTAACGAACACTAATAATAGAGTTGGCAACTTGATTGCGTTGCAGATGCGAAACTCATTGTCATTGTCAATTTATTTATAACGAACTAAACGTAGATGGATTTTTATTGACCTTACTGCAAACATTAAATGACAGAAAATAAACACTTGAATTTTTTTTTTAATGAATACAATATTATTAATATAATGAATATTGAAAATGTAGAAAACTATAACAAATGATCTTATCAATACCGAATCGTATAGAAAACCTGTATGCTTATTTAAATTATAATCGTTCTGTGACTTTTTCTAGTCTGTCTCGTGTTGATACGCCGTTTGATTTAATTTGGCTTTCTCAAGGATTTTTTTTTATATGGAATTCCAGGTGCCTTTTTAGTTACTTACTTTATCGCGATGGTATTTTGCGGGATACCTATATTTTTCCAAGAAGTAGCTATCGGACAGTATTTGGGTTCCGGCGGGATGACATTAGTCGAAAAGTTGTGCCCAATACTATCAGGTATTTTTTTATCTTTTTACTAATAAATAATTCGTTACACTCCAATGACTGTAATGAGCTATTTGTATTTAAGAAATATATAATATAGCGACTTGTCCAAATAGGAACCGGATACGCGACGATGACTATAGTGTTCTTGTTGGACGTTTACTACTGCGTTATTGTTGCTTGGACGTTTTTTTATCTGATCAATTGCTTCATATCGTTCCCCACACTGCCGTGGGACAGTTGTGGTAAGATATATGAATGTATTAAATTAGTTTTTGCTATATATTTACCGGCGCTGCTAATTCTAGATAATTGGTGGAATACTATCCATTGTTCAAAACCAGACGGGTTGAATAGAACGCGCGAGTTTTTGGAACAGGACAGAATAGAAACTATGTTAAGCACGTCGATGTCTCTAAACGATAACTTGAAATCGTGGAACCAGACTTACTTCAACAAATCATACACATTCGACCACGATGCCTATTTATCGGAATTTTGTCGCACTTTGAAAGCATTGTCCGGTGACGATGCTGACGGTGCCAATGTAACCGAACTCGGGCAAAACAAACCCAAGGTCTTAGAACTGGACGAGAACGTCGGCTTCCTGAGAGAGCTTCACAATTGTTTTAACGTGTCTACGGTAACCCCGGCCGAAGAATACTGGGAGTGCGTCATGACTTTAAAAATAAGTTTCTCCGGATATCTCATGATACGCAATGTTTTTGTAGGAAACGAGTGCTGATGCTATCGAGTGGCATTGAACAAATCGGAGGAATCCAGTGGGAGTTGTTGATATGTTTGGCAGTGTCGTGGATCATGATTTACAAAATCCTGGGCAAAGGGCTTAGCCAAAGTGGAAAAGTAATAGTCAACGCGTACAGTGTTTTCTATACGGGTCTCGTTTCACCGAAAGTGGTACATTAGTGTGTTGCAATAGTAGGACAGCAATGGCTGCTTAAAGATGATTTTTTTTGAGAAATGCCATTCAATCAACAGGGATCACATTTTAGGCGTGTCCTAACGTTAGCACCTCACTTCCCCGTCGAGCTTTGAGTTGGCCACAAGGGTGGGAACCCTGCTACGTTCCACCTTAACGTTTGGGGACCAAAAATAGGGTGAATTTATGGATGTGGCTTATTTAAAATTCTCGAAGTGTTCAATACTGAAAGTAACCACTTTTCGCGAAATGACCCCAGACATTGAACGCGATTTTTTTAACGATTTTTACCTATATTTAAATAATGTATTGTACTTGTATTTTTTTTAACAGATAGTGTGGTTCGTAGCCATGTTTCCGTATTTGATCATGGGAGCGTTGCTGGTCCGGGCTTTGACGCTAGAAGGTGCTGGCGAAGGTATCTCGTACCTTATAACACCGCGTTGGGAGAGCCTCATGAATTCGGACACTTGGATCGAAGGAACGACACAGATATTCTTTGGCTATAGCGTCGGCGTAGGCACTCTGCCAGCTCTCGGGTCGTTCAATCGCTTTCATCACAACTGTTACAGGTACACCAAAGATCGAAGATCCGATCATTTTTCACAACAAAAATATAATATGCTTTGGTTTGATCATTTTCGGATTTACTCATCATGTCGGAAACAAGCTTGACCTGCATGTCTTGCTAATGTCCTCTCTGTAGAGTCAACTGTGTTGTCATAATTACTTGGATAGATTCGAAAACGTTCAAACCAAACAATTGAATCCAGTCTGACATTGACTTTACACTCTGACAGGGATGCGATTTTGACGTGTGTTATCAATACGCTCACCTCGATCATACCTAGTGTGATAACGTTCAGCATATTAGGATTTATGGCCGCTTCGCAGGGAACCACGGTTAGTAACGTTGTGGAAAGCGGACCAGGATTAGTGTTCATAACGTACCCTCAAGTGGTGCTCCAGCTGCCCGGCGCCAGGATTTGGGCGATAGTATTTTTCGTTATGCTCGCTGTAGGTACGGTTGCTTGGCTAACACTACACGCACTCGAAAAAGGATCTTGTTAGTTTAATTTGGGATGTTTTTTTTCCCTGGATATTAGATGATCGGCATTGACAGCGAGTTCTGTAACGTCGAGTCGTTCATAACCGGATTGACCGACAAGTGGCCAAAGTACTTGAACGCCAATCGAAAAAAATTCACCATGTTCGTCTGTGCAGGAATGTTTGTGCTGAGCACGTCTATGGTCACGAATGTAAGTACACCCCGTTTATATATTTCAGTGGAAATATTAATTGATTAGGATCCAATTCAACGACGGAAACCTTAAAATGTCTCTCAGCCAGTTACACCAACATTTGTTAATAATTCAACTTATTGTTAATTATATTTAACAACTAATTAGTGGAAATGTTGTGTTTATTTTGTAATTTAGATAATATAATTATGTCTTGCCTGTCCTGAGTATAACAATGGAAATAATTCTTATCACTACCTACTATTTTTAGGCCTTCAATATAGAAAAAAATTATTTTAATGACCTTGATGATAAACTATTTTTATAAAAGTATAGACTATCTAAACAATTTGTTAAAAAATTATATATAAATTATTTATATAAACCGTAACGTTAAAAGAAAGCAAAACAAAATGCCAAATAATAACAAAATGACAAATTAAAGAATACAATAACATATCAGTTATCACATACCTCAATAACCAATGAGAACGTTGGAATCGAGGTAACCGCTTTGGTCACCTTACTAACGTTTTGTTAACTAAACAATAATAATGTCATGGTGAAACTTAATTCATTCAACCAGTTGTTAAATTTAAATGAATAGTTAACTAACATTGTGTTAAGAGTGTATATTTTAATAATAGTTGGTGAAACCGGCTTTCTATATTTTTTTTGTTTTAATCGGTAATCTATTTTTGTTTTTTGTTTTTTTGCATTAGGGTGGCATGTATGTGTTTCAACTAATGGACACCTATGCGGCATCGGGAATATCACTGTTGTGGGTGTGTTTCTTTCAAACGATTTCTATATCTTGGTTTTTCGGAGCCGACCGTTTTCGAGATTGCGTCCATCAAATGCTCGGGTTTAGGCCGAATATATTTTGGTACATATGTTGGGTGTACCTGGCTCCGCTGGTCATGATAGTAAGACGTCGTCAGCGGTCGAAGATGAATAATTATTTAAAATAGGCATTATTGTTTTGAACCTTTCCAGTTGGTGTTCGCGTTTTATGTGGCCAATTACGAACCCGTTACTTATGGGAAATCGTACACGTACCCTTGGTGGGGCGAAGGATTGGGGATTTCCATATCGCTGTTGTCTATGGTTTGGATTCCGCTGTACGCGATATACTACTTGATAACGCAGCCCGGGACTTTGAAACAAGTAAATATACAAACATATTCAGCCGGTTTCACCAACATTTGTTAAGAATTTAATCTGTTGTCAATTATATTTAACAACTAATTAATGAAAATTGGGTTTCATCGAGATTTGTTAGCCTTAACACATTGTTAAATTAATCACCCGAAATCGGCTTGTTAAAAAGTTAATAGGCATGTTAAAATGTAGTACTTATATTATATAATATTTATATTATTAGAGTTCAGAAATTGTTTTATAATTTTTGTTGACTGATTGTACTAGTAATATATAAAAACGAATTACACATTTCATGAGGAACTTCTTTATATTGAGTATTTAGAAAACAATAGAAAAGACAACTTCGATAACTCTTTATTAGGTAAGCAGAAGTTATTTTATGTAGGTAGATTAGGTAAAACAGAATGACACAGACTTGCATTGTAGGTTCAAATATTATCATAATTTATTGTATTTTGTAATTTAGATAATATGATTATGTCTTGCCTGTCCTGAGTATAACAATGGAAATAATACTTATCACTACTTACCTTTTTTTAGGTCTTCAAAATAAAAATAAAACTATTTTACTGACCTTGATGACAAACTATTTTTAAAAAGGTATAGGCTATCTAAACAATTTGTTAAAAAATTATATATAAATTATTTATATAAAACGTAACGTTAAAATAAAATAAAATAAAATGCCAAATAATAACAAACTGACAAATTAAAGAATACAATCACTTATCAGTTATCACATACCTCAATAACCAATGAGAACGTTGGAATCGAGGTAACCGCTTTGGTAACCCAACTAACGTTTTGTTAACTTAACAAATAAAATTTAACAATAATAATGTTATGGTGAAACTTATTTCCTTTAACTACCTGTTAAATTTAAATGAACTGTTAACTAACATTGTGTTAAAAGACTGTATTTAACAATGGTTGGTGAAACCGACTGATTGGTTTGTAATGGCCTGAGTTAAAAAACTACTAATTTCTAAAATTAACTTTCAGATAATCATAAGAGGTTTCACGCCAGTTCCCGAAGTCAAATGCAGGACTGAAGTGAAAAACAAAAACCCCAATAAAGATTTGAGCGTACAGTTGATGGAATGCAATGCGCTAGTGTACTGTGACAACCAAGCCACCAAAACAATTTAACACATACCACATATTTGTACATAAAAACTTACATTACCAAAATTGTTTTTTTTTTTCATTCATTATCCAACTAGGCCGTTACTGGGATTCAATTGGAATCGGCACGTTGTTGGAATGAATTAGTAATACAATGAGGTATTAATTTATGGCAATATATGATGAAATATTTATAAATACCAGTAAAAAATAACGTCAGGCGAATCCACCGTTGGCACCATTGTTATTGTTATTTGTTTTAAGAGTAAAACTAGGGTTTTTTTTATGTATAGATTTTTAATTAAAAAAGTCCAAGACGAATGCCTTTTGCCATTGCTACCTAAATACCTGAGTAAATTATTAATGTATAAACTGTTAGGTACCACACTAATGACTTTACATAAAATATCAATGTTTGAAAAACATTATAATATATGGACGAGGTAATTGTTATTAAACTTCCACATCCACCCGTATAGGTTTGGCAAATAGTAGTTTTGAATTTGTGTTTAACAATAAGCTTTTTATCTTTATAAATTATCATAAAAATGTCGGTTACAGAACTATTAGAAAACCGTTTATTTGCGATCAGATAAATATTACAAGTTGTATAATAAAAAATTTAATAGACACTTTTTAAGATAATAGTGTTTTTTTTTTTGCTTCATCTCCCAAACTGAGTATAACATTCGAGTAAGAATTGATTTATAATTACTGGATTGTTTTTTTTTTTTACAATAATTTAATCTATTTATTCTATTCGGTACTAAAATTATAATAAATGTTATCTAACATAGTATTAAATTAATGGTTTCAATTATAACTATTCGAGGAGTAATTAAATCTATAAGCATAGTATCGTTTTAAACAACGAATACAAATTTGGTTTTTATTGCAAAACCATTATGAATTATCTTTTATTTTTACAGATATTCTACATTTCGAAGAAAAATATACTCTGATATCGATTTTATTATTTATTATTTATATTATTATAGTTCAGAAATTGTTTTATAATTTTTGTTGACTGACTGTACTAGTAATATATAATAATAAATTACACATTTAATGAGGAACTTCTTTATATTTAAAGAACAATAGAAAAGTAACTTCGATAACCCTTTATTAGGTAAGCAAAAGTTATTTTATGTAGGTAGATTAGGTAAAAAGGAATGGCACATACTTGCATTATAGGTTCAAATATCATAATTTATTGTTTTTTGTAATTTATTATTATGTATTGCCTGTCTTGAGTATAACAATGGAAATAATTCTTATCGCCTTTTTTTAGGCCTTCAAAATAGAAAAAATTATTTTAAAGACCTTGACGACAAACTATTTTTAGAAAAGTTAGATAGACTATCTAAACAATGTGTTAAAACGTTATATTATATAACTTATTTATATGAACCGAAACGTTAAAAGAAAGTAAAATAAAATGCCAAATAATAACAAACTAATAATGTTTGTAATTATTATTATAGCTGTGCATCATAACAGTGTTACTATGCTATCTTAAACATTAAAATTGAATTATGTCACAGGGGTAATTATTATTTTACTCTATCACGCGCTGTCCAATTATTGTTCTACACACCAGTTACTCATGCAACCATTTATGAACAAATTAAAATAATAACAGTAAACCTGAAACGGTTAGGTTATTTTATTTTATTTCATAATGTAATACGGGCTGTATAATGTAATTTTGCCCAATTTACGGTTAATAGACTTAAATCACATTGATATAGTATAAAATATATAATAATGACAAATTCAACGACGGAGTTTTGTCGAATTAAATTAATGTTTTTTTTTTTAATAATCGCGCGCGCCTTTTTTAGTTCACATTTTTTATTCCATGTCAACAACATAGTACCATCATGGAATAACAAAGTGCGGTATCATTTGTTATCATTAGATAGAAAACAAACGCCGTCCCGGTGTGATAATAGGCTATGTTGTTAAAAAACGATGATGGAATTTAAAGCAAAATATAATAATATTGTCAACAACAAACAATAAAATACAATATTTAGTTAAAATCGTGTTAAACGTCAAATTTACAGTTTTAAACTGTGTATTTTTTTCTAACATACTTGCACAATCGATCGTCTTCACAATGGTCGTGAGACCGTACAAAGAAGAGTTAGAGTTTTTGGAAAAGAAGACTCCTTACATGTGGGAAATTAAAAAAGGTTTCCAACCCAACATGAAGGTAAACTCGTCCGTGTTATTTATATTTTACTCTTTTAACCGTCTTCTTCCTCTTTGCGTACAGTACAAACTGTTTTGTTCAAAAGAAAATATGACGATACTACCTAGTAAATATATACCTTGCTCGATGAAGTGTCGTTTTTAAACCTGTTTACTGCTCGCTTGTGTAATTTATCAATTGAAACGAGTCCAAAATCACACGAGTAGAAGTATATTATGGCTATTAAAATGTATATCCTAAAATAATATATTATGGAAAAAAACTTATTGATTATAAATTCGCATTTGTCGTCGAACTAAAAGATTCGTTAAATGTTTAAAATTTTTAAAACATTTTGAACTAAAGTAACAAAATAAAGTATTGTATCGATATTTTACAGCACATGTTTCTTAATAAGTTTTGCAATCTTCGTTTGGAATAAAGTCCGATATGATATGAAGTGTCGTTGTTATAAAGAATAATTTGTAGACAAAATATTATTATTCAATTTGTAATATGTTTTTAGTATTAACACAAGTTTTTTTATAAATGTCTAATAGTTTTGTTTTTAATTCATTAGGTAGAAGGTGTGTTTTATGTCAACAAGATGCTGGAAAAACTAATGCTGGACGAACTACAAAACGCTTGTCGGCCTGGAATGATTGGCGGATTTTTACCCGGCGTAAAACAAATAGCCAACGTCGCTGCTCTGCCGGGAATCGTACACAAGTCTATCGGCCTGCCGGACGTCCATTCTGGTTACGGATTCGCTATTGGTTGGTAACCATTTTATTAATTTAAAATATTTTACCATATTATGTATTTTACTTATCTGTCGTTTCATTTATTCTCAAAGGTAATATGGCAGCGTTTGATATGGACGATCCTCTGTCGATAGTTTCGCCCGGCGGCGTCGGATTCGATATAAACTGTGGTGTACGATTATTGCGCACCAATTTATTTGAAAAAGACGTCCAACCCATAAAAGTAATTTGTGTTATTTTCATATTTTATTTATTCAGATTGATTGATTATAATTATATAATTTTTTTTTTTTGTCTTTTTCCTTGAACGTAACCAGGAACAATTGGCTCAAAGCATGTTCGACCATATACCCGTCGGCGTCGGCTCCAAAGGTATAATTCCGATGAACGCAAACGACTTGGAAGAAGCGTTAGAAATGGGAATGGATTGGTCACTGAGAGAAGGTAGACAAATCGATTGAACTAAATTCTGGTTGTCGTTATCCGTATGATAATGTTTTTTAAATTATTTTTATTAAGGATACGTGTGGGCCGAAGACAAAGAACATTGCGAAGAAAACGGTAGAATGTTGAATGCCGATTCTTCCAAAGTCAGCATGAGGGCCAGAAAACGAGGTTTACCGCAGGTAATTTTTTTTTTCTTGTTTAAAATAAACATCATTTGTACTTACTTTTAATAATGTCTTTTTAAAACCGTAATCACATCGAGTTTTAATAAAAAGTATTTTTATAGTTGGGAACGTTAGGAGCCGGCAATCATTATGCAGAAATACAAGTCGTAGACGAAGTTTACGATAAATGGGCGGCTAAAAAAATGGGCATCGAAAACAAAGGACAAGTGTGCGTCATGATACATTCCGGCAGTAGAGGATTCGGCCATCAAGTAGCCACAGGTTTTTTGCACACTGTTTTTAACGAGTAGAGTCAAGTTGAAAAATTAATAAAACTAAAATTTGTAGTTTTTTTTTTAAATATTTAAATGTTTTTTTTTTTTTTTGGACATTTAAGACGCTCTACTAGAAATGGAAAAAGCGATGAAACGAGATAATATCGAGACCAACGACCGACAGTTGGCTTGCGCCCGTATCAATTCTACGGAAGGTCAGAACTACTTGAAAGCCATGTCGGCCGCCGCAAACTTTGCTTGGGTCAACCGAAGTTCTATGACGTTTTTAGCTCGTCAAGTGCGTTATGATACATATTTCGATAAACGATAAATACAATTTTTTTTTTTTTTTTTACTATATTTTAATCCCTTTGCAGGCATTCGCCAAGCAGTTCCAATCGACGCCGGACGATTTAGACATGCACGTAATTTATGACGTGTCGCACAACATTGCCAAAATGGAACAACATTTGGTCGACGGCAAACCCAAACATTTATTAGTGCATAGAAAAGTAAAATATATACTATCGACTGGATTTTCTTTTTTTTTTTTTTAATTTTATAAAACTTAATAAATGAAAAATAACCTAATGTTGACATTTTAAGGGTTCAACCAGGGCTTTTCCGCCGTATCATCCTCTCATTCCCGTTGACTATCAGCTAACTGGTCAACCGGTTTTGATCGGAGGCACGATGGGCACTTGTTCGTACGTGCTAACCGGAACCGAACAGGGCATGACTGAAACGTTTGGGTCGACGTGTCACGGAGCGGTAATTGAAAAAAACTGCCGGGTTAGGAAAACGTTGATAAGAAAAATATTGTAATTTTTTTTTAGGGACGTGCGTTGTCCAGAGCGAAGTCGCGAAGAAATTTAGATTACAATCAAGTTTTGGAAAAACTGGAACAACAAGGAATAGCCATTCGTGTGGCTTCGCCGAAGCTAGTCATGGAAGAGGCTCCGGAATCGTATAAAAACGTTACCGACGTGGTGGACACGTGCCACGAAGCCGGGATCAGTAAAAAAAACGGTTAAACTAAGACCGATAGCCGTCATCAAAGGATAAAAACGTACCATCGGCTTTGTTATCCGTAATCATTTACATATAATTTTCTACAAGTACTCTGTACGTACCATTTTGTACATAACAATTACGATAATGTTAAATAAATACAAAACGATCGATTTAAGTAAGTGTAACTTAATATATTTTTTTTACAAAAAGGTTTCTTTTCAATTTGATTATTTTCTAGTTTTACGTTATTACTATGTCATACATAAAATCGACGGTAACAGTCTATGGGTTTGTCGCGTTTTAAGGCACGTGTTTTTTATTGTACGGAATGTCTGTGCATTACACGAATAGGTGAAATTATCATTAATCTAGACAAAATATTATGTAACATTATTGTCACGACGTTATCGTATTGATGTGTTGTTCACGGTTGACGTTTGATTGTGTTTTCGGTCTTTATCGGCCGGAACGATTACAATCGGTGGAATTTCCGGCACTTTACATTCGATTAAAGTGGCCATCTCTTTCAAGTTGTCTTTGGACGCAGTCGGAAGCTCGCCAAAGTCGTTTGATCGCGGCTTTATTGATTTGTTCAGTTTCTGGAAGATTAGGAGAAATATAATAAACGACCGTTGTCGTCGGACCGGTCGACGACTACTCACTTGGTAAAATGTCATTCCTTCGGAACGTAGGAACGTGTAAACGGATACGACGGGTATGCACGCCAATGAGATCATGACTACGGACCATCCAACCATGTGGGCCCATAAAGGAAAACTGTGTGTGCCGTTAACGTAAGTCGGAGGTTCATAGTCGAACAAGCTGAACATCCATATCGACTGCAACGATAGGTTAATAATTATTGGTAAATGATTTTTAATGATAATAATGATGTTTTCAGGCTTGGGGTCGACCGAGAAAATTTGTTTGCGTAACTATGATAAAATTTAAATTAAGAGCCACTTTATAGCTCCGAATTGCATTGATGGTTTTAGAGCAGCCACCCAGGGTGGAAATGAAAGTGAACAACATTTTGCACACAATGACAATAGTGACTTTATTCAAAATATTTCTTAGAAAAAAGCTGTTATGAGAAAATTAAATAAACACCTTGTTTTACAACATCAGGTATCAAGTTAATAACAGTAACATAAGAATATGTCATTGACTGTATAATTTCAAAACTTTTTTTTTATTCTCATACATCATACTATACTTGTTTGATTGATAACTTTTTTTTAACAATTTTTTATTTTTTTTTTATGTATAGGTATCCTCAAAGTTTGGCATTTTACTAAAAAGTGATATATTTAAGAGCCTATATCTTTTTATGACATTGTAGGGCTACAATGAGAAATTCAATTCATTCAAATCGCATTGTAGTCCTACAGTACAGAACTAGAGAAATTCAAAATCTTACAGCTTCTAGTAAAAAAAAAGTCTCCATCACAAAACTTTTGCCAAATGTTTTACATACATGTAAGTGCTTAAAAAATTTCAGAATTTTCGGTTCTTGTCATAAAAAGTCATAGGCTCTTAAATATATCACTTTTTAGTTAAATGCCAAACTTTGAGGTTACCTAAACATAAAACAAAAAATTGTAAAAAAAATGTTATGAATCAAACAAGTATAGTATGATGAATGAAAATGAAAAATAAAAGTTTCGAAATTTTGACCTTAAGTTAGTAAAAAAATTGAATGAAATTCACAAAATTTTGAATTTGTTTTAAAGTACTTAAATATTTGAAAAAAAATTGTTCGAGTATATTATGAAAAACAAGTTCACTTAAATTAAAATTGTTCACTGAAAGTCCCATGTCATAATTAGTCATTAAGTAACATGATCGTGAACTGAATGGTGTTTTGACAACAAATTTTCGAAATATGGCTTCGCCTAAGTCCAAAAATTTTTTTTAAAAATTGTTTTCTTCACTTTTCTGATTTTATGGAACTATCTGCATTGGATATGTAAATTTGAGGCTTTTAAAATGTCCACTGCGCCACACACATCAGATGATTTGGCATGGGATGACCCACAGATATTTTTTAATACCCTTTTTCGTGTTTTCACATTTTCTTTAACGCACTTACAAAGTAATTAATTCATAACTGAAGGAGTGAGTGGATAAAGGGGCGTTGGCTGACAATTCCGAAACTGTTCTAGGGGCAATATACATGATATGTAAGTCTATTCGAATGCTTGTAAGTTTTTAATCTCGACACACGCGTGCCATTGTTATAATATTTTTTGCCGAATTGTGTAATATATCCTAACGCTTTCAATTCGTTCAAACTAGAAAGTATTTTGGAAAAAAAAATAACACTCGACACCTTTCACTCCACCACCCTTCAATTGTCAGTCACCCTTCCCTGCCCTGCTGCCGTCTCCACGAGATCAACGTTTATGTGTAATTCGCAAGTAATACACACTAATGTGTATAGTAATATATATATATATATATATATATTTTTATCTCTCTCAAGCATTCATACCATTAGTATGAGCGGTGTGGTCGAGTACCAGCTGTAGGTGAAAAACCGAAGGGGTTTGGTGCCGGTTATCCTTTGGATGTCGGCCGACAACCGATTGGCACCGTACATCCAGGACACGGCGATCACTTCGAAGAATGCAACGTAAATGATCGACCACGTCGCTATGTAGTAGTCCACAATTTCGAACAAATAGATACCGCCCTGTAATGTTTTAGAAATTAAGGGCATTTAAAAAAAAAAAGTTATATATATATATACAGGGTGTAGTTCTACCGAGCTTCAAATAAGACATTCAAGATGCTTTATGGGTACAAAAAATGGTGTTAGTTTTTTTTTAATTTTTAAATTATTTAATATAGAACTCGTATCTCATTAAAAAATTGTCTAACAAAAAAAATTATTTAAGATTTGAAATCGGGAGAAAAAATCTCGTCGAGTTGATGTGTAACATGATTTTTTGGTATCTGGCCACATACAGGATGTTCCAGCATGAAAGGTAAGTAATAGGTGATTGGACATCTGGGACACCCCCAAATAAGCCCCACGTTTTTATTTTTTCGGTAAGTCAAAAATTGAAGGTTTCGACAGTTGAGTAAAAAAATAATGACCTAAAAAACAAAAAATTATTCCATGTTATTCAGTTCAAAAAGCTAACCTTAAAAGAGGGGTCACATCGTTTTCAGTCCCTTTCGGCCCCTAACTCAAAAAATGATTAGAGACCAGAAATAAATGATAAGTTTTAAAAGATAAATGCTAAGACATAATTGATAAGAGATAAATTATGAGAGATTAGATATGAATGATAAGAGTTAGGAGATAAATAATTAGAAACAAGAGATAAGAAATACATAATAAGATATTAGTGATAAGAGATAAATGATTAGAGACTAGAGGTAAGAAAAAAATGATAAGAGAAGAGTTAGGGGCTGAAAAAGACTTGAAATGATGTGACCCCTCTTTTAAGGTGAGCTTTTTGCACTGATCAACAGGGAAAATAATTTTTTTTTAAAGTCATTATTTTTTTACTTAACTGTCGAAATCTTCAATTTTTGACTTATCGAAAAAATGAAAACGGGGGGCTTATTTGGGGGTCCCCCAGATGTCCAATCACCTATTACTTACCTTTCATGCTGGAACACCCTGTATACGTCCACAGGGTACATGCGAAACATCATTTACTATAATATAATTCTAAGGACACCAATGAATTGAGAACAAAATTCTAACCCAAAACGATGTGTTACATGCCATATGTTAGTTTTGGTCACATGCCGATCACTCAGTGGCCACTCGATGGCCACCCTGTGGACGTATGTGTGGCCAGATACGAAAAAATCATGTTACATATCAATTCAACAAGATTTGTTCTCCTGATTTCAAATCTTAAATTATTTTTTTCGTTAGACAATTTTTTAATGAGATACGAGTTCTATTTAAAAAAAATTGAATACCATTTTTTGTACCCATAAAGCATCCTGAATGTCTCATTTGAAGCTCGGTGGACCTTTACATTACACCCTGTATATATGTAATAATATTTATACCTGTGTGACGAACGGAAGTCCCAGTAGAAACGAAGCGAGGCAGACGGCCAACACCAAAAGTTCATGGCAGACTAGATATTTTTTTATGCCCCTGGGAAATCCGTCTTGTATGGACGTGACCACCACTTCGACGATGGCAAACTGTAGTAAAATATAAAAAAAAACAAAATTAAATACAACAAAGGCCAACTGTACGGACTGTATTATAGGTAATTATTAGTATCGCTTGACCGATTGATAATAATTAATAGTATGTACCTCGCTGTTTAGGCAAAGACACAGCATGGCGAAAAACAGCAGAGTCGACCAAAGACCGGAAAACGGCATGTTGGACAGCACTTCCGGAAACAAAACAAACACGATGCCCGGACCTAGGTGAGCATTCCGATTTTAGTTAAATGTTTTTAGTTTTTTATTCTTTTGCAATTCGGTATTAAAGTTTTGCGTGCAAGACGAGAAACCCCAAAACTACAGCTAAAAAAGCGAAATACAGGATTAAGTTACTACCCCGCCTAAGGGAAAAGGCTTATTGATATCGACGGATTTTTTTTTTCTTGGTTAGTAATATACCAAGAGAATAGCGTCTGTACCGATTTGGAACTAGCTCGACTATTTTGAAAAAAAATTATAGTAATTTTAAGTTAAAATATTTGTATATTCCCTCCATTTCAAAGGGAAATGGGTGAACGAAATTTCAGTGGACAACCTAGTAAGAAAAATGATGGAAAGCAGAGAAGTATGGCAAGCACCAGCAAGGTTAAATTAAGAGGTAATGACGAAAAGAAAGAATTAGGCGACAAATTCGTATATAAATTGTTTGTATTTTTTATGATGTGGACCATGAAGGTGAAGTTTTTTTTGTAATTTGTATCATTGTGTTGTTATGGGGGGGGGGGGTGGCATGAAATTACCACGGTCAGGACTCCCCCCTCTCTAGTGAATGGTATGAAATGCAAAAAATTGTACCTACACCCTTCTTTTCACATTGACAATAATAAGCTATTGGAGGTTTTAGGAGACTTAAGAGTTGAGCTGTCCAAGCTCCTAAAATATGCCAGGTGTGCAGTTTTGCTAAAACAAGTGGCGGTGCTTAAGCCCTGGAAGTATTAGAAAATCTCAAAGGTGTAAAATACAAAACTAGGAGTGCTAAGCAAACCCGAGGAATTGGCAAATAGAGCCTTTGAAAATAGGTGCCCTCCGGGGGGATCCCACAGAAATCAAAAGTTTTCTTTTTTTTTTTACTGACTGTCCAAAATGACATCTTCCATAGATTTCCCATATTCCTTGGCCACGTGACCCAGGGTGGCGAAAGTGAGCAGTCCCACGGCAAAACTGGACACTCCGTTGATCAGCGATATAGTGATTGTGTCCACCAGAATGTTGTTATTGTACCGGTTGTACGAAGCGAACGATATCACCAGACCGAATGCAAGTCCCACGGAATTCAGGTTTTGACCAACGGCGCTCACCCATATCTAAAAACAATACAGTAACATTAAAAAAAAAACCTGGTAAATTTTAATTACAAACAAGAGTAGATTTTTGTGTTGTATGTAAATATTTCGAGCCGGATTTCTGATACCACATGAGAGGTATAAAAGAAAAGAAAAACAATCCTTTCCATTGAAGTAAATACATTAGATATGAACTCTTATTGCGTTCAACTGATTTTTATCTCTTATCTCTTATCGTCTGATTCTCTTATTAATAATTTCTTAACAGCGATTCCTCTTATCAATAATCTCTTATCAGTTATAGAATTAACTTAAGTTTGATAATAAAGAAAAATTGTTATCAATTTTGGTGTCAATAAATTCGTTTTGACGTACCGAATTTTTTAACACGTTTTGTTTTATTGCAAATAAGTGACTTTTCTGGGTTTTCCCCTCTATATTTCCAATGTGAAAATTAACAAAAATTATCAAAAGGCAATAGAAATATCTAAAAATTTTCTAGAATATTTTTATTCTATGTTTTTACCGGACGTCATCGGTTATTTGAGTGACTCAACGGGTAAACCGGTGAATACCTTCAGACGATATTGCACAACTGACAACCTAAGAACACTCACATACACACGGACGTATCGTGTTGCTCTCGAAAATGCTATTCTGGTCAAATATTTGTCAGTTTCGTTTAGTTCATTTTATAATTATCGGGCAGAAATATTTATAGCGACATAAAAAAAGAGTTTCAAAAAAGACCACAAATTTGGGGTTTTTTTTTTAGCGACAACGGTGTTCATTGAAATGGTGGGAATCAAAAGCTTGTGATTAAGTGGCTTTTATACATTTTAATTGTTGAAAATTGTTATTTCCATGTGTTTTCGTGGGTAATGTTTATTGGGTTTTCTTTGATCTTTCATGACAAAGCAAGCATATCAATTCATGTGAAAAAAGGGCAAAAAAACCATCAGATAGAAATAGGTTCAAACGTGTCTGCAGCTATTATGCCGGATAATATGCAATATGTGATTTATACGACTATAGTGCATTTTGAGGCCATTTGCAATGTCAGTGTATTATGTAAAAACAGTCGGTGCAATGTTTACACGTGTATTGTAAATAACAAACACACACGCGTTGTTTACACCGGATACAGAAGTCGCCAACCTTAACTTTGAGATTTAAATTATGATAATTATTCGTACCTATATTATTATTTATTATTATCTGATGGGCCAGCAAGAATTTAGTCTCATAATTATTTGTTTATTATAATTTGCCAACGCGTCGTAAACATTATGCCGCACTTACACACTGTACAACAACTGGCCGAACTTCCGTATTAAATTTACAGGGTTATTCGAATTTCACCTCGCAGAAATTTTATCAACAAAAAAAAAAATTGTGTATAGCAAAAACATTTTCAAATAATAAAAGAGTTATTGTGTTAAACTATTAAAAGTGGTAGTTTCGAGGGGTAACTTTAAGAAATCAAACGATAACATATTATATTTGCGTATTAAATTTGTTTTTACTTAAATATTAAAACATATAAATATGGTCAGGGAGATTTTATTTTTGAGTTGAGAATAATCTACCAAAGTTCAGTAATAGGGTAGATGCGTTTGGGGTTGACCGTTAGTCTTTTTTAAATTATTCGTCCCTATTGTTATCAATAGATAACCATCTCACCACCTGGGAGGCAGCCATTTTGTGTACCGATTTCATAGAAGTATTATTTAAAAATATGTTAGGTTAGGTGATGATAACACCGTCATATCACTGACTATATAGTGTGTGGTCGTGTATTTGATAGATCATAGAAAAAACAATAAATATCGTGGACGAAACAATAACTGTACACGAAATGGCAGCTTCCTACCAGGGGACATTTTCAAAATCAGCAGACTATAGGCAATACGCGTTCTATAATACGGGGTGTTTCAAAAATAATGGTGGCGTTTCAAACGGCTGTAGGTTGTGAAGTATTGGACCTACAGCGCTCTGGTAGGGCTTGAACGAAAGAGGGAGTTGTCAATTTTCCAAATGACTGCCACTAGATGTTTCATAGCTGTCACTTCGCTTGTGAGGACGCCATCTTAACAAACTGAACGATGAAGGCTGGCGACACAAACGGGAACGCGGAGAGACATCTAGTGGCAATCATTCGACAATTGACAGAGCGCCGTAGGTCCAATACTTCACAACCTACAGCCGTTTGAAACCCCACCATTCTTTTTGAGACACCCTGTTAAATGGTTTGGTTAGGCCGTGACACCCCCCTCTATTAATCTCACCTTGGAGTCCAGGAGCAGTCGCCATTGAGGTTTGTACAAGAAGTAGTCGAGCCCGATTTCCGCACCGTCCAGGTACAGAGACCGCACCAGCAGCACAATCAGCAGTGCGAACGGCAGCGTAGCCGTCAGGTAGAGCACACGGCCGGAGGACTTGATGCTTTTCCACAGGGTGAAGTACACGACGATCCACACGACGAACATGCAAGCCACCAGCTCCCATCGCATGCTACCGAGGGTCTGTAGGTCTTTGGTGGCGTGTAGCACTTTGAGGCTGTCGAACAAATGAAATTTACCGACCGGTTCACAATCGAAACATAAGCAACATATACTACACTAACGGTGAAGTATTTACCGAGGGGCCTCTCTAGATCCAGAGATATGGCACACTTTTGAAATGTTAATAAATTGAGAGAAAAAAAAAGAATCTCTCCCTCGAAGCGGACAGACGTTGGATCACGAATAATATATGTCTTATGACGGCTGATTTCCTGTCTGTTATCAATCATCTCTTATCAGCCGAGTCTCCTTGGTTTTCGATTTTATTAATATCCCTCCCCTCCCTTCTCCTTCCCACCACTCGTTATCACATTACTATTTATCACTATCCATCTATCCGAAACCCTATTCAATTTGACCAACGTTTTAAATCGATCAAACCGTATGTTGCAAACTTGAACTTATTTATTGTGTTGGAAAGTTATAATAGCTAATTGATGTTAGCGTTAAGCTAGTTTGCAAAAAGTGAATAGATATGGTAAAAACATTTTTAGACTTGTATAACTGGAAAATTGGTCGGTTTCATAATAATATTATTAGGCGTTGTTCGGTGTTAGTCAACTCCAATAATATAACAATACGATAGGTAGGTACAGGCAAAAACTAAAAGTCACTTTTTAAAATGGCCATTTTGATGTAATATGATTTGTTTTGATGTGAAGTCGAAAAGGTATTGTTTTTACAATGATATTTTTTTTTGTATGTCTGAACTGATTCCTTTACATAGCAGTATATAAAAGAAATAGTACCAAAAAGTGAAATAAAATACAAATTTACCCTTTTCTTTAAAAATAGTTCAATAATATCAAAATTTGTATAAAATAATCTTTAGATATTGCACTACCTAATATTATATCGTTAACTCGCTGTCCTAGAGAACAGGAATCTTTTTCATTATTTCGCTCTGTTAGGTTTAGTTTTGGGACTTGACTTCTGTAAATAAAACTAATCGTAGGTCTAGGTATCTGAAATAAATTTTCACTATGTTTTTGATTTGCCTATTGTTGACAACAGCGATGAATTATTAGGAAACACCGGGTTGTTCGTTTAACCAGATAGTGCACTTCGTAGTAAAACAATCGATTTTCATAAAACGGTTTTCGATTGGTTTAAACTTAATGCAGTAGGGCAAATTTAGAGTGTCGAAAATATTGTACAACCTATTTACAATAATAACGTAAACTGATAAGAATTACTGATAACAACTGGTATCAACTGGTAGTCGATTAACGATGGTTGATGGTGATAACATTACAAAAATGTTTGATAACATTTCTTTGACCACACTATATTAGAAAAGGATTATTTTTTTTCATTTTTTGGTCACACTGACACGAGGTTATTAAAGTTTGTTTACATTTATCGATTTTTTTTAGACCTAACCTTTTTTAGGTTAGGTTTTATTTAATCTGTGATCCAACCCTAATCGTATCCGCTTTAACACCAAATTTATGTCTTCCTTCATTGTGCTGAATTTCTTAAAGCTTTTTCAAACATGTTTTATGTTTTAACGTACTAGTAAAACTCTTCGGTGGGGCTTTTGCTATTGGACGTGGTGCTCCGGTTGTCTGCCATCGACCAGCAATCAGGAGTGTTCCATCGGTTGTTACAGTGTGTCCAAGGCGGTTGGTCCCGAAAGGCGGAGAAAAAATAATACAGGACATAAGCGATGATCACGTTGTAGTAAGTAGACATGAAAAACGACGTCACGACACTGGATAATCCGGCGCCTACGACAGTGTAAATACAATTCTGAGGTCAACACTATGAATAAAATATTGCATGCTAATAAAGGATACATGGATAGGTGGGGAAAAAACACTGTATAAAAAACGCACAAGCCGATTGATATTGGAAACAAATATTTTACACCAATAACTGTACCTAATTGAATATTGCTCCTAAAATTGTTGTGTTTTTTTTCAAATTAATGATAACAATAGAAATCGCATCAAGTCACCGATAGGTACCATAAGAGAAAATTACAATGGTCGTACTCTGAAGCATAATAGCCACATACAAGTAGTTCTAGAAGGAACTGGGCCTGAATTATGTAGATTTTAAAAGAAAAATAGAGACGGAGAAGAACGAGTAAGAGTTGTGTAGATAAGCAATACCACTCGAAAGACTGAAAATCTAAAGAACAATAAAAATACTCCTAAATTATCGTTAATTTCTTCTAATGGAAAAGAGTGGCAAAACAAAAAAAAAACAAATATTTTAATGCTATACCTATTAGACAACTACATATATTGTAATAATTAGTTAACTTTAGTAATTGTCCATAGCTACATTTACATCAGCATACCTATCTTCTAATTACTAGCAAACTAGTAGTGATTAAAAATGATTAGTTGTTGGCTGTTATTACCTTTTAAAATGGGACACAATTTCGATATGGCTCCGATGGGTCCTCTTTTCGTGAACTGACCAACGGCCAGTTCCAAATATAGCAGTGGCACACCGCAGAAAATCATTATCACATAGTATGGAATTAAAAAAATACCTAGAAAAACAAAAACAGATTTACTTACAGTATAATTTCGACACGCACACAAGTGATAAATGATGATCATAAGGTGCAAATCAGACGCAAAGAAACACCTAAAGTTAACATATAAATATAAAAACGATTTTCACCTTCAAAGAATATTAAAAAAACAATGTACACGATTCGATATAAAACCGACAATTGTTAAATTGTTAATAAAACAATCCACAAAGCTATTAAAAAAAAATTAATAAGGAAATACAAAGTGATCGCTTAAGCTTTAATTTGTACAGTAATTTAATAAATGCAAATTTTTCCCATTATCCCAAGACGGTTCGATTCAATCAACTGGTTTGTGTCTCGCCTATTGTAAACCGTTTAAAGATAGAATTATCGTTATGTAAACACGCCTATTATTATTATTATTATTATCACCTATTGCCGGATGGAGTTTGCCGTTCAGTCTTTATAACAACTGCAATTTAGCATATTCTTTTATGTCCCTGATTTGTAAAAATATAATATTATGTATTATATTTTGCTCTTCGCCTTCCGTTTAAATCGGTCGCGAATTAAAAACAATCAACCACACATTAATCAGATTCCCCTTGGGATGGGAAATGGTCGTCCCTACCGACTATACAAATTGACTCCTTCCTATAATATATATATATATATAGGTAATTACCGGTGCACCTAGTTTTACTAAACGGTTTGGTCTTTGCCGGCACAACACAATAGGTTGATGCGCTACTAATATGATAATTGTTATTATTTTTTTTTTTTTAATTCAACAACCAACTCACCTCCTCCGCTTTTATAACAATGATAGGGAAATCGCCACAAGTTGCCCAGACCGACGGAGCACCCGAGACAAGCCAAAATGAACTGAAGTTTTCCCGGCCAATAGTTTATGACCCGAGGCCGGAAAGTCGACTCCGACCCAGCTAAAGATCTGGTACAGCTGCTACATTCGGTCAGCTGGCCGTCTTCGTCTTCGAAATATCTGTAAGAACATGAAAAACGTGGAAATAATTATCAAAATCGAAAAAAAAAAACGTGTAGGTTAACACGTGAAAATTGTCCAATAAGTTCCAAATTTGTATGTAATGTTTTATAGAAATAACGCACTACCCAAGAAAGTATCATTAACCCTTTTCCCTGTAGACAATTTTCGGTTATGGCGCTTGTTTAGATATGCTTTTAGGACTTTTAGGTCAATGTACAATATACAAAATATACACATCGGTTACTACATCTGGTATAAAACCTAACCTACTGCACATAAAAAAATATTTAAATCCATTGCTCTAGACAAAGTAATAAAAAGTCAAGGACTTTAGTTTTATATGTTTTTTTTTAAGCCATATATTTATGTGTTTAGTTTACCTGAAACATGTGTTAAAGGATGTAAATATGTTTTTCTAACATTTTATCTATAGTTTTTTTTAAATTCTAGTAAAACAGAAATTTAAAAACATAATGGTTCAAATTCCTTTGAGAAAAAACTGTACTTCTGTTTAAACAAGTAAATATAAATTCTTTTTCTTTTTCTTATTGAAACTCGAGTGCAATTTTTAAAACGGTAATTCTAATATTCGAAAAATAGAACTAATTTATTTCGTTAAAATGCGCATTGTTTGATCATTTGCAGAGGCAAAGTCTGAAATCTGGACACGCCTATCACGACAAATGGAAACGCATATTATACCTTTTTACCATTTTTTTAGGTTTTGTTTTTATTTGTAAAAACGCATTTGTAAATTTGTCATTTAAATACTAGAATTTTCGGTTTTGTTTGAAATATTTCCTACTAAATAGTTAAAATCGCACGCATATAATTTTGTCTAACAACGACTTTCGTTGTTCGGATCTTTTTTTAAGACTTTTCATACGTATGTAACGCCAAGTCGATTATTATTGGAGTTTTCAAAGACTCATTTTAAGTGTGTTTTTTACAACTAAACCGCGCACCGTCATTATTATCCGAGCGTTTAAACGCCGTTTAATTGTTGGCACATTAAGAATATTATAAACGTCGTTGCAATGCTTATCCGGTGGTTTTTTTATAAAAAAATAATAACAAAATAAAAAACAAGTACAGCGTAAACCAGCACAGTGAGAAATAAACACAGTGGTTCAATAGATGCGCTTCGGTGCAATCTTTATAGGTATTAGGAACACAGTACGGTACAGGGTGATATTGGTTAACTAATAACTTTAGAATAAATTATAATTTTTTTTTTAACTATCCTTTATTGTACTTTATTATAGTTGGCCCAACTTTGATAATAAATAACCCCATCCTTTATGTTTTAAAATGTTATCAACTTAGCTGTATGCAGAGTTATTAAATCATAAACTTGTATATAAAATCAATTACAGTCTAAATCGGTGCGGCTCAAGCATAGTCCAAACTAATACAGTATATAATAAAGTATAGCATACACCAGTACCTACATTGGACAAAATCTGGATATTTTATTTTTCTCGGTTGGCTACACTGTCAGATCAAACAAAGTCCGTCATAAAGTGTTATTATTGATCAGCTCGTGTTTAGCAAGCATGTGAGTATAGTCAGAGCAAAAATAACTAAAGGTAAGTATTATTTACACTACATCAAACTTTTATAAAAAAAACAATTTTAGTGTCAAAACTTCTAACGGCGATTTTATTTTGTTGACAACGGTTTTGTTATGATTAATTAACTTGTATACTGTTTTTAATTTATAATTGAATTCAATTAAATTATTCCTAACCTAAACCTAAGCCACGCCTATGAGGTTTATCTTGGAAGTATGTTCAAAAAACATGCTGCTATCTTGGACAGACATTTTTTTTCTGAACCCTTTCACTACTACTGTCCATTGCAATGGACATGACTTTATTTTCTCTTTTGTGATTTACTGTATACACAAAAAGTTCCTGATATGAACACGGAAATTTTTTTTTTTCAAAAAAATTAATTCGGTAATAAAAGTGTTAAAAAAAGTGAAAAAATAAAAAACTCCTTTTTGTTTTATTTGGGTCAAGACTAAAATTTTAAGACCATTTCCAGCCCTCTTCCAACACTCCTTTATTGTTAAATTTGAGTTCATAATTCAAAATTGCCCAAAGTTACCCGAAATTACAATTTAGTTGTACATTTTTTATAGTACTTATATAGTAGACAGTATAGTAAAACTGCAAATCCAAAACATTCTTCGAAATCGACAATTTAATAGCTTTTAAAATTACTAAAAGATATCACTTATGCCTCATTCATTTTGTGACACGGGTAAAATTGCGCAGTAGTAATTTTTTCTTTTTAAAAGAGGTTTGGTATCGTAAACGGACATAAATAAATGATTTTATCTAATACCGAAGCAGTAAGCATCATAAAATAATAAAATACATATTATACGCTCTATTTTAGATGTGTAAACACTAGACAATAATATACTAACAATGGCGTAGTGTACGGATTAAACATTTATTGTTGGAAATCGAAAACCAATTGATATTATTATAATAATAATTATAGAGCGCAATCGTTTATACGGGCAATATAATACTTGTAAAAAGATTATCGAAACGAATAAAATATGATAAAAAGTTTATTATAACGCATTATAATGGTGTCATGCATGTTGCTGTGAAAAATTGATTTCTTTAGGCACAATTTATAATTTTCAAAAATAACAACTGCTCGAATTATTGTACAAGAATAATTATTATATTTAATTTTGGAGCTGTTGGTAAAACTGAAAAAAAAACATCAGTATTTTACACTCAAAGAATATCTGGAAAAATAAATGTATTATATAAAATAAATGTATTATAATGTAACAATAACTGTAGCTATTTTTTTTTTTAAATTAACATAACGTCGACTTGAGGTCAAAGCACATTAGCACATATCACCCTGAGGAATTTAGTGATGAGACATTGACTTTAACTAAAAACTTGTCTTTTTTAAATGGCAAATATAGCGTGCTCACGCGATTCTGTATAGGTCTATAAAGCCTATAATTAAAAAAAAGAAATACTTATAACACTTAGACCATACCAATAGCCAAACTAGTTATTAGGAAGCAAATCTGAACATTCTTCGAATAATTTTTTTTATCTAAACGAATCCCAAAACGACATCGAATTATCTTTTATTATAAATTGTATTATTGCTATATTTTATGGCAAAATAATTGTTTTATTCTTCATTTGTTTGGAGTTAGTTATTGTTTATTTGATTGTTCAAATAACAATACTAATTTATAGATACAATGTGTACATTATCAAGGTGGAAAAGAAATAGTATTTAAGAAACTGTTATCTATTAACTCATTTTTAAGTTAGTAAACCAAAAAAAGCCTTAAATAAACATTAAAATATTGTTTTCATAAGTTTTGACAACGGATTTTTTTTTCTACTCATGTTATGTACATAAATTGTAACAGCGTTTTATTAATATTGTATTTATTACTAAAAATTGCTAATGATAATATATGTATACTTTGTGTTAATCCGATCGTTTAAATGCGAGTAGCAAGTCAATAATAGGTATGTTATATTATGAATATATTATACCTTTAATAATTACACACATATAGGTATACCATAGTACTTTCTCCGGCCTTATTGTGTTGGTCATCTTTTTTTACACGTTTGTCAGACCGAGGCCAAAGCTAATCACGAGTTGGTTGTTATTTAGATGATGTACCGCATAATTTATGTTATTTGTTGGAAGTCCCCATTGTATAATAGGTATAACCGCGGAATAGAGTACAAAACCGACAATAGTTTTTACTGTTTTTAAACAATTTTACAGGAATTTTTTTTTAAAAAAAATCTCTATTCTGGTCCGGGTCGGTTATAGTTAAAATTGTACACCATTATTATGACAATTACAAGTAACAACATGAACAAAAATATGCCAAGAGGTGAGAGATGGAGTCAATTTATTTAAAAAGAATGGTCAATTTTTTATTTTAAATTTTCTATATTTTTATAGTACTCACTTAACGTATAATACATTTTAAATTTCAAAGGCAATTATGGTTAGATAATATAAAAAAAAAACTTTTTAAAAAAATAGTAAAAAAGTGAACTAAAATTGTCAAAAATTAAAAATAATTTCACTATAAGAACTGTTTACCAATCGATTGTAGCACATTTTTTTTTAAAATGTCAATTACTTTGAAAACAACCGAAAATTAACTACAATTTTAAACAATGTTAAACGTCTTTAACTTTTGACCAAAAAGAAAAGCGTGGTCCTTATTCAATTATTTCAGATAACGTTTTATATTGTAAGTTTTTTTTTTTTAATTTAAATTTGATTCAATATTAATGTGTGACACATCAATTTTATAATACTTAACTCAATGAATTGTATATTAGGTGTTATTTTAAATAATTAATCCAAAAGACTGCGGTTAAGTTTGATAGAGCAAAAATAATTGTTTGTTATTATTGTCTTTGTAAAATGTTATTTAAAAAAGTTTTTGTGTAATTTTATATTTACTGTCAATATTTGAATTGCTGTTCAATGTTTAAAGTAGGTACCTATTAAAAAAAGTGTATTGACTTTTATGAGTATTTTTATTTATTATGTTAATTTTGTATGTTCAGTGTGTACACGGGATGGCCTCAATGAGACGATTTGACTTTTTTTTTTATAAAATGTTGTCATTTATAAAATCAAAGGTAAATTTATTTATATTTAGGTACTCGATAACATTCCGGATGTATCCTTCTGTATTTCGTTTAAATGCCATCGAATGAACTATTTGAAGAAGAAAAAAACAATTGGTGTCTCACCGTGTACGCCTTTCCCCTATCTCTCTACACTGCGTATAAACATAGGAAATAAATAATAATATGATAATAAATATTCTGACGGCAGTGGAACGGTATAGGTAACGGTAATGGGAATAAGTTTACTGCCGGAAGACCGCTCAAGACGCTGGTGCATTCTCGTTCGTAAGAAATCGTGATTACTCATTATTATTTATTATTGTCATCGTT